CCCCAACAGCCGCCTCGCGCCTTCCGCAGACGGCAGCCAGGCCCCCGCCCGGGCCGAGCCCCTCCCGCAGGAGCCGATGGCCGGGGCCGACGCCGGCCCCAGTGAGCTGGACCAGGGGAAATACGACGCCGACGACAGCGTGAAGATCATCTGCCTGGGGGACAGCGCCGTGGGCAAGTCCAAGTACGCGGCGTCCGGACAGGCGGGGCTGAGCAGCGGCCTGGGGCGGCCGAGCGCCGGGCTGGGGGCTGCGGTGTGTGCCCGGGCGGGAGCAGGCCTCTTCCTGGGGTCTTGCGGAAGGGGGCACCCCAGAGGCTGGTGCGGCCGCAGAAGAGGGGTGAGCGCTGAGCGCGCCTGCGCGTGCTGTGTCCCGGTGGAGGCCGGTGGTGGGCGCGGGAAGGCCGCCGTGCTCTGGGGGGCCTGCACCCGCGGAGGGAGGGAGGGAGGGAGGGAGGGGCCGGCGGCCAGGCCTGAAAGCAGGCTCAGAGCTGTGCGCAGGCCAGGCCGCGCCGGCCCCACGCTGCCCTCCGGCCCTCTGTCCCTGGCCGCAGGGCGGGGCCCCTGTGTGCTCCGTCTGTTACTGGCACATGCTCATCCTCAAGGTCACCACGACGCCGTCTCTGGGGACTCGGCCTGTTTGGGCCCTTCGTGAATTCACACTGGCCCCCACGCGTGGCCGGTCCCGCCAGCAGAGCCAGCCCTCAGACAGCAGGCATGACAGGCGCCGAGTTACCCACAGAGATGTCGGGGTGCAGCTCGGGGCAGGTGGTGGGGCCGCCAGCGCAGCGCTTCCCGCGCTTGGCAGCGTCACTCAAAACAACAAAGCCAGGACCTCCGGGAGCGCCGTAGCAGGGGCCTCCAGACGCCTGGGGGGGAACTAGTTAGGGCCTGGGGGGCGCCGCCTCCTGCATCTGGGCCTGGCACAGTGGAGCCGCCTGGCACAGCCCTGCCCCCTCTGGTGTGCCACCGTCCAGGCACCGTCAGGGTGCCCGGGAACGGGTGCCAGGCCGCTCGCCTCTCCCGCGGGTGCTCCTTGTGAACCGGATCCCAGGGTGCGCTGTAGTTAAACCTCAGTGCGAGGCTGTGGCCGGAGGATGGAGCCCGGGACGGCGGGGAGCCCGGGACGGCGGGTCCCCTGGTCTGCCGGGCCGCCGCATTTCTGGAGAGCGGCTGGCTTCCCCCGGAGGGCCGCAGGGAGCCTGAGCTGGAGCCCTGACGGTGTTTCCGCTCTGCACACAGGCGGCGCTGCCGTTGCTCAGGCCTCGGGTGGGGGGAGGCCGCAGGAGGGGGCGCAGGAGGTGTCTCGCCACCCCTCTGCGGCGGGGGGAGAGGTCGGCGCGGCTGGGAGGGCC